GTTTATGGATGTCAATAAGTAGCTTCTCTCTAGTAAGAGCATGACGGTTTTTCATGTGATTTTCTTGACACTGTATGCTTAATCGGTTAATGTCTTCTCTAACTGAAAACTCAAACTTTTAATTCTGTGTGGTTGGCTTGAATGGCATTCTTTTAGTTCATTAACAGACAGTGGACTCGTGTTTTCATCTGGACAGAGTAGATCTGACAAAAAATAGATTGCTTAATCTGTGTACCTAATACTGGTATTTTTCTGAGAGCATAGGTACCATAGTAGCTATTTATGATAGGGTTGCTAATCTGCTAAATGATGAATTGTGACCATCAAATGCAATGTCATGTATGTCAGCATTTTTGTTTTGTTTCCCTTTGGTACACAGGGAAAGTTTAGAGGAGTTGTTGGGGTGGGGTGGTTTTGGTTTGGTGTGTGTTTTTTGTTTGTTTTTTTTTTTTTTTTTTGAGTAACAAATTTCTCAGTGCATTTAAAAGTATAGGATCCATACCCCACTGCCAACTTCTTGAATTGGCATCATCTGCGTGTTTTTGAGTATTCAAAAAGATTGGCCTTTAAGATAGATTCAGTATTTTTCAGTGTTTCACTTGTTTCATGATCCAAACCGATATGCCTAAAAGCATTTTTTCTCTGATATAAGGAAAGATGATTACACAAGTGGATTTTATTGCTGATTTCCCTGAAATATGGTAATCCAGGTTTATTACTTTGACTTGCTGTGATATAGAGGTATCAGTGTAAATAGTGTCTTCATCTGGTTATTAGTTCTTGTAACAAAAAACTCTGTCAAACTTTTATTTCATTTTTCTATTGAAACGAAGACAGACCCAAGTCATACTTTATGAGTCTGTGACACCTGCCTGAAAAGTCAAAATATAGCTCACTTGCTTGTTACTTTTTTAATTGACAATGCCTTTCCTGGTTTTCTGTCTTCTCAATTCTAAACACAACATAACATGTTATCCAATTGCTTGATTTCAGTAGGGATATTGTTCTGAATAACTCTCCTTGCTACTGGAAGAATAAAATAAAAAATCACTTCTGCATCTTTAATAAAAGGGAGCTGTGCAACTCTCAGAAATACCCAGTATTTGGCTGGTAATAGAGGACCAAACTATTCTAGTGAGAATACAAGTGAAAAAAGGTTATTATACTCTCATCTTTCCCTTAAGCTACTTCAGGCATAGCGTTAATGAATAAATGAATTCGTGTTTTAATTTGAATCTGCATTAGGTCTCAATCCTGCCCTTTGAGTGAAAGTGAAACAATTGAACTTTCAGTGTTCTTTTAAATCCAGACTGGACTGTTTTGCTATTCATACCGGCTGTAACTACTTAGAGCAGTCTTCAGCCTGATCTTCCAGTAGTTGAGCCTTTGAAGATTTCTGGAGTCTAACCTAAATTGATCTGCTGTGCCTTGTCCATAAGGATTTCTGCAGGAAGAGTCCTCTGCCAAGTCAAGCTGGACCTTACAGTCCAGTTGCTGATGCCGGGGTCCAGTCCTGACTCCCAAACATCTTTCTTTTGCTCTTTAGCAGTATGAAAGATAGGACTAAAAAAGCATAAGATTTGGCTTTGGAAAGACTTACAAAGATTTTCTTTGAAAGAGTAATGCTTAAGATGTTATACATGTAAGTGATGAATTTTCTAAATGTGTGCCTTCTATTTCTTCTTTAGGAAGGCAGAAAGGCTTGCAGGCAGCTCAGGGTCTATGGTCACCCATGAACTAGTGTTGAGAAACTCCTGACACTTCGACACGGTGTGCGATGTGCTCAACTCCTCATTTCCCAAAGTTTAGGCTGGTTTTTTTGTTCTTTCCTAGGAAATATTTTAATATTATGCTTTTGTTACCCCTTTCTGTTTATTTTAGTGGTGATCGTTTCCTTTGTTTTAAAGAAGAGCTGAAATACCTTCTTCCCATATGTCTCTGCATCAGGTGGTATCATTTCATGCACTTATAGTCATCAAATTCTGTTGAAACATCACAAGGATATTTAATTTTTCATTAACATGTAGCTAATTTAAACTCCTTTTTGAATTCCAGAAGAAAATTCATAGCCTGTAGATTAATCAGTATTGCGATTGATACAGATATGATACACGTTTTAATAAAAATGATATATAAGAATGTTATTGACCTAAAAAGTAAGTAATTTGGTAATATTATTCAGATGCTAGTGAGCATGCTGCTTTTTCTGTGTTTCAAATTGTAGAGAAGTTAGCACCTTTGATTATTTCAAAGTTCTGCTTTCTCTCTACTTCAATTGTTTAGGCATTGTTTTTGTATGTTGTCCGGTGTCTTTGATCTCGAGAGTGAATGTCTAAAGATAATAATCTCTTTGGTTTATGGAGAAGGTTTAAAGGCCTTTTTAAAGTCATGCACTGGATCATTTTTCAGTTGTCAATTTAAAGTGAGAGGTCAGGCCTTCGTGGGGTTGAACAATTACCCCTTTTTGTAGGGGAAAGGAAAGCTTCTTGTGTTACATTTTCATATAGTCCAAGTATTGGAGTAGATTCCGTCGTCTCCCCCCCCCGCTCTCTCTTTTTCTTGTCATGCCAATATTTACGGAACCTGATTTTGTGCCCTTTATTCTGCTCAGGTGTATTTATCACAAGGATGCTCAAAGGACAGTGTCTTGTAATTAAAGCTGTGCTTTTCAGCTTTTGAAGAAGTGTGACCATTTCAGGGTTGTTAGTGTCTGCATATACTATGAATTTACAGCTGAGAGTCCTTTAAAGGATGCAGTAGGTTTAAGTTTATACATGTTACAGATTTGTGGTAGTTAAGCCAAGTATTTCTGTCTAACAGAAAGATGTATAACTAAACTTTGCAAAGCAAAAGTTAATTGGGTGACAGACCAGAAATGGGAAGTGTTTTCTTGTCCAGAATATCTTGTGCTGAAGTGTTTCCTAGAGCTTCCTCAAGTACAAGCTTTTTAAGTTTGTTTATGAGAATTTTAGTAGGAAAAAAAGGTGGTGAGGACATGATTCACC